TCTCCCTGAAGACTCCCCTTCTGGATTGTAGCTCTGCATTTTAATATTCAGTCTCTCGGCCAGTTTCTGTGCTGCGAGCTTTGCCTGCATCTCCTTCAAAACAAAGAACAAAGCCCAAGTTACACAGTACTGCTCCCCTTACAATATTCAACAAGACCCGGGATAAACGAGCATAATTCCCACCGTCTCTGGCAACACAGAAGATTGACAGCTGTGTCCTGTTAGACACAGGTGATGTATCTGAGAGCTGTCCGCTTGCTGCAGTTGCTAGTGACTTCCATTAGCAAGCAATGCTGCAATCGGAACAGCTTACCTCTGCACAAGAAACTGAGAAATCAGCTGAGCACCACGGCAGCTATAAACAGATACACTAAGTGTTGCATGCACACAGAACCACCTGTCTGTATTAGAAATCATCAATGTGGTGCCAATGTCTCCAACAGACAAAGACTTCCTTCTCTAGATTAAATCTTATTTTCTAAGTCTGAGGAGTATACCTCAATGGTACAAAAAGAGTGAAGACATTAATGCTGCATGCTGACTGTTCCTTAGTAAGTAAAGTCTCAGAAATTAACACTCAAAAGGTCCAAGTAAATTTCGGAGTGTCAGGGGACTTTTCCACACATCAAGATTACCCAACTGCTGGTAGACTTCAGGATTCATCTCTGATTCACCCAAGCTCCATACATTCCTCAACTTCAGCAGCTCCTTACCTCAGCCCATGAACATTATGGGTAGGCATAATAATTGGTACGTACTATTACTATTCTGTCAAGGCAACCCATTTCAGAGGGTTTAGCCTAAAAATGTCTCAAGACAGGTATTTAAAAACCCCCTAGAGACAATTCAAAGGTCACTTCTCCAGCATAGCAGTTGGATCTGATGCTAATTCTAATGCACTAAGAGGAAGAAACACAAAGGGCCATAAAGATACCAGTCCATGCCAGCTGAATGCTTAGGAAAAGCCAAGCAGAGTAAAAGCTAGTTTGACTTTAACAGATGCAGGCACCTGACTAAAATCCAACTAAGCAATTTAGGAGAGGGGATGGCCTTTTCCCAGAAACTCACAATGTTACAATCTAACCATAACTAATCTCCATGCTTACTTCTCCCATCCTGCTAATCTGAACACAAACTTCAACAATGTTATACATTCTATTTATAGACAGGGTCTCACCGTTTATTAGCTGTGCAGACCAGGCTAGCCTCAAACTCAAAGAGATCTGACTGCCTTTACCTCCCAACTGCTGGAATTAAAGTGGTAGGATTAAAGGTGTGTGCCACCAACACCTTAATATCCATTTTTAAAAATTCTATGCAAAACACAGTGCTATATACAACTGATTTAGACCCAAAGTACAAAGGCCTCTATTCACAAGGGTCATGAGTAATGGTCTCAAGCACCCCATCAGCGGCTGGCAACCCAGCATGATCTCCTGTCCTTCTGGGCTGGCCCCTGCACTGCAGGAGATGGAACTGGGAACCGTGCCCCTAAGAAGGTCCCTGAGGGAGCTCTTACCACTGAGAAGCTGCCACACGGGAGAGAGACATATGCTGTCCCAGCAGCAGCAAACAGCTGCTCCATGTCACTCCAATCCTCGCCCTCATCCACTGGGGAATTATTACTGGGGTCCCTATAATTCTAACAACTTTGTGACTGAAAACTAGTGCACATTTCTAAAACGTGACCCGTCTAGTCAGCCAAAGTTAATTCTGACTCCCAAAGCAGCAGCCACCACACAGACAAGAAAAACCCAAGACTCCAGAATTACCTCATAATTCTGCTTCTGCTCTCTCTGCAGGGCCAGCGACTCTTCTATGGAGAGCAGCTGCGCAGGCAGGTGGTGGAGCGGAAGAAGGCGCGCTGCTGTGATGTCATCAAGATGCTGCCTAGCCCTGCGTCGCCGCTCTTCTGAGGAAGCAGGAGACTCATCCCTCTGACAGTGACTCGGTGAGTCACTCTGTTGGGTGGGTAACCTGAGAAAGGAAAAGCAGGCACATCAAACCATACACAAAGACAGTCCCTAGCCCAGGAGCCTACTGCTTCTACAGGGTAATAGCATGAAGTCTGCCCATGCTCGATGCTGACAATGGTCGCACATACAGATACAAACACTGCTTTCCTCCTCACACCTTATACTCCCTCCACTCACTCAGAGAACGCTTGTAAAAGAGCTTAATGCCCAGTAAAAGGAAGTAAACATGATACTGCTTCGGTGGAATATAATACAGGCACTGACAACCTGACCAGTTCTGAAGGAAAGGGAGGCATTGGAAGTTGAGGCTAGAGGGTGGAATTGACAATTACAGCCCCAGAGATGAGAACCTTCTCCTTCAAGGATGATGGTGATATCAAGGAAACACCACGTACAGTCATGGGCAGAACAGGATGGATGGGGTAGGGTGGTGGTACATGATACAGTGCTGTCATTAGTCACTTCATGAATGTGTATGTCTCAGAAGGAACTGGCATTCTGCACTGGAAATGAACCCCCAGGTGGTCCTGTTTCACAGCTAACTGACCATGTACATATGAAGTTCTGCAAAGTCAGCCATGAGCAGATGAGGTAGTCTCCAGTACCCAGATAGTATACAAATCAGGAAAGGTAAGGTCAGAGGAACTAGCAGAGGTCATCAACCTTCCTAATGCTGCAACCCTTTAATACAGTCCCTCAGGTTGTGGGGACCCCAACCATAACATTATTTCATTGTTACTTCATAACTGTCATTTTGCTGTTATGACTCATAAATATAATATGCAGGATATCTGATGTGACCCCTGTCAAAGGGTCATTCAACCCCCAAGGGGTCATGACCCACAGGTTGAAAAGTGCCACCAGCACACCTTTTACTGTGCTCAAAGCTCCGCTCACCCACAAGCCCAATACCACATATCTGTGGCCAGCTGCAGCCTCTCCTGGTCTCATGCACTCGCTGCCCCTTCTCTCTCAAGCTCACTAATGTTGGCGGCCCTCACTGCTCATTCCTCACCCTCCCTATTCCTGGCCACATGGCCGTGACTGGGCCACCTTCCTCTTTCTGACACACCTGGTCTTCCAATGTGACCTCCTAGAAGTGAAGAGAATGCTTGGCAGAGAAGATGAGACCCCTTCACAAGACACCTTCCTCAAAGGTTACTTTTCTAGCTGAAAATCAATGTACTAGGACCTGGTTTTCTAAACACAAGAAACCATTTAAGGTTAAAATAATCATTAGTGGAGTAGGTTTTTTTTTTTTCAGAGCTGAGGCCTAGCAAGCACTCTACCACTGAGCTAAGTCCCCAACCCCAGTGGAGTAGGTTTAAAGTCTCTGCAAGAACAAACATGATGTGGGGTTTTTGAAGCTTCCCTAAGCAGATGGTCTCCCTGTGTCTGACATCACCACGTAAAGATGGCCGTTACCCAGCGGTACTCCTGCAGACGGCCTAAGTACTACTACAACTCTCTTCTCCTCACAGAGCTCTTTGTTTTCCTGCTGATCTCAGAAACATTATAGCAAAGAACTCAAAAGCAAGATCCCCCCGCATTCTCCCCAAATCTATTTTCAGTTAAATCTTTAAAAAATCCTTTTAGTGTCCCTTTTCTGGAAACTACTATCACCTAGTCTAACATTTCTTCAAGTTTGGAAACCCTGAGTGGTCCTCTAGATTCCAGGCTCTTTAAGGAGCAAATCTTTACCTCCCTGTGTGCCCAGAGCTCTGCTGCCCACTTGTAGTGAACACAGTTTGTTTTGTTTTGTTTCCTGATGAACAGCCCATGAGTTCCTGCAGTTGCTTCTCTGGGCTTACACAGCAATTGAGGGGGAGCTGCACACTAGCAAACGGTACTGAAAAAAGTCACGATACATCCGCCCTCCCGCTGTGTTTATGACGAAACACTGGCCAAGTATCTTGAAGCACACTGCTCCCCGGCTGCTATTTAAAACTCCTTCTAGGACTTCCTTCAAAACTAACTTCATTTCTTTCAAAAGCAGTTCTCCAGTCTAGCCGTGCTGGTCTATTTTCACAGTATGCTCACTCCTGCTTACAAGCTCCTCACAGCACTCTCTGAACTGACATCACCACATAACAGCCTTAGGACAAGCCTGTTCCTCGACACTTACACATTGGTCTTAAACTTAGGTGGTGGCGGCACTGGGTTTTTAGCTCGCATTTCTAGCACCTCCATGTAATGAGGCCTCTTAGGAGTCTCAGTCTGGAGCCCTGGCACGTTCTCAGCGCTGGTGTTTTCTTCTGAGGGTTCACTCTGGTCTGTGATCGTGATCTTCTGCAGCTTAGTGATAAACAGACTGTCAATGCTGCTGGAAATGTCTTCCGCTTGACTTGAAACAGGGCTTTGGGGGGGATGTTTGTCAACTTCAGATGAGGGTGCCCTGGCTCTGCTGCCGGGAGCTGCGCCTGTGTTCACTGTGCAGCCAGCCTCCAAAGTCTCTTCATCGCCTTGGTGAGTGAGGTGGACAGGTCCTTGTGTTTCTGAGGTGGTTTTAGATGATTTGACGTCTACAGAGGAACAGTCAAGAACTAATGAAGTATCAAGCATCAGGTCAGAATTCTGGGCTTTGTCTATGTCGGTATCAACTCTTGTGGTTGCTTTTTGCCTTAGCTTACAGTCTACACTAACAGGATCAAACAGTTCACGTCTCCTTCTAACCTCTTCTTCACGTTCTGCAATGGCAGCTTTCAGTTTGGCAACGGTGTCTGAAATCTTTTTACCTTTGTCGGGCAATTTGCAAATGAATTTTCTGTCGAATGCAAAAAAGAAACCAACAGGTACACATTAGAGCCATGTTTTGACACATGAAAACACAGTATTCAAAAGGCAAAATGTAACCCTTGAAGAAAAGCTGGCTTTTAATTTTTTTTAATCTCCCCCCCCCATCAAGGGAGTGCTTTGATTGGGGAATTATTTCATTGAATCAGAATTTCAGGAATAAAAGTTGTATCTTCCTAATCTAAAATCTGCAATTGACTGCCCCATGGAAAATTTCACACCTGACCACATCATGAAATGCAGTCAAACCCAAGCTATAAAGAACACAGTACAAAATTACCTTCAAGCCATGTATAAAAACAACCGAAGTTCATGTTTGGATTTGGGTCTTAACTCTACACTGTCTCTATATACACTCACACGTATATTCCAAGTCCCTTAAAAATATGAAATTCTGAGCCGGGCGGTGGTGGCGCACGCCTTTAATCCCAGCACTCGGGAGGCAGAGCCAGGCGGATCGCTGTGAGTTCGAGGCCAGCCTGGGCTACCAAGTGAGCTCCAGGAAAGGCGCAAAACTACGCAGAGAAACCCTGTCTCGAAAAACCAAAAAAAAAAAAATATGAAATTCTGGTCTTAAACATTTAGGAAAACAGATACTCAACCTGTACAATAAACACATTGTCAAAGACCAGTGGTCTTTAAAATGTTGTCTCTGAACCCCTGGGGCTGAAGAATGGCTCTGTTGGGTCAAAGGCACTATTTGCTATCTCTGTCATAGAAGGTGAGTACAACAGGTAGTACCACAGGTTTACCAGAGGTCACATAATGGGATGACATCACCATCTTACAAAGGAAGGGGACTTATGTGTTTTTGTGTTTGAAAGAATTCTTAGTTGTTTCTGATAAATCAGTAATATTTCTAGGTTCAGCATACATAAACAAGAGCTCTTAGGGATGCCTAGTAATTCTTAAAGAATCTAAAAATGTCCTGAGATCAAAACATTAATTTATTGCTAATATTAACAACCCATTCTGGAAAAATCAAAACACCTACCTGTCTCCAGTAGGAACCCCTCCTGCAAAGTGGTCACTGGCTCCTTTCTCTCAGTGAAATTCCCTTTCTGGTTCTTTTCCATGGTTACATAACAAATGGAGACCTCTTAGGTCCCTATTTTTCCTACCACCACACCACATTCATTCATTTGCAGGTTTTCAACAGTACCAACATCTCTCTGCATTGCAGCTTCCTCTGCTTTTTCGGCCCTCTCTCGAGCCTAGTACCATTTCTCAGGGTTTAATCAGTTGGCTTTTAACTAACTAAACGCCAGTCATTACTCCCTTCAATTACATACACCCGAAATAAAGAGTTAACCTTGAATCCATTCCTCTCTCCCAATTTTCTCATTATCCTTTGTGGCTCTCCAGAAATTTCAGCCACCTGTTAACTATGAATATATATATACATACATATATACATATATGTGAATAAAACAACTATATATTTATCTCCAAATTAGTTCACCAGTATTTAAGTTTTCCAGTCCCTCGACTGCCTTCATTCCCCCCCCCCCCGCTGAAAATCTCTCGGAAAATATCCTTTTGGTGTCTTCTGCCTCTTATTACTTCAATCCCATCTTAAACAAAGCTGCCTTAAGAAAAAAATCAGCTATCATCATCTACCCTACTACGGGGGCGCGAAACTTTCTAGGCCCGATTGGCCACTCTTGAGAGCTCCTCTCCCCATCTCCTTTGGTTTGGGGAAGAGTGGGGCTCTAGATCGAGGAGAGGGGATCGACACGTTCTGGTGAAGAGGATTTGGTACCCAGACTCTCTCCAAGCCGTTGTGGGAACGTGGAACGGAGCGGGCGGGCGCCGCTGCCCAGTGAGGGCCAGGCAGCATGGAGGCATGGCGCGCGCAGCCCGGGCCTGCCCAGGAGGCCTGCCCACGCAAGGTCACCTTCGCCCGAAAGGCCGCGCTGGGGCGCGGGAGGCTGGTCCCGGATCCCGACCCCCGAGGGCCTATTCCTCGATCCCCCGTCCCCGGCAACCGCGACCCCCCGCCCCCGAGCCCCCCAGCTTACTCGTTGCGCAAAAGTCTCTCCTGGCGCCTCAACCTCTCCCGCAGCTCCGCCGAACTCCGCTGCCCCAAGTCCTCGGGAGCTGGGGGCTCGAAGCC